AAAAAAAAAAAAAAAGAAAAAGATGAGCAACAGCTGCAAAGATCAAACAACAACAACAAAACTGTTCCATAAATATTCACCTGCTCGAAATGTCGAATTGGTTAGACGTAACATTGCATCTCCTTATTCCTGAAGACCAGCTGATCACCTTTTATGATATCATTGATTAATAATTGTTTATCACTTACATAAAGATATTCAATTTCAACATGCAAAAGTAACAACAAAAAACAGCCCCTCAAAAAAATTGTATAGCTGTCACCATTAATCAAATAATTTCATCAACCGATCGTCTCAATACAGTAAAAAAGAAAAAAAATTTAAACCAAAAAAAAAACAATCTTAAAAACGAGCAAAAAATCTTATAATTTCAAATAAGTATAATTATAACTACAATAATGACCGAACAACAATGATATGCAATGATACCGTTCACTGTATCTGTAGTGTTAACAATTGATTACACATTTTTAACAGTTAATAATCGATTCAAAGTATAAACAGCATTTCTAAACCGTTTATATATCCAAAATTAAATGTTCCAAAGAGTAGCTTTAAAACACAAATTTCGTATCAGTAAACAATAGTCATAAAACAACAATAAACATATTTATTCTTATCTGTAATTTCCATCTGCTATCAACTAAATTGTAGAACCTCTCTGAGAGTTAATAGTTAGTAATAATATATTATAAAAAAGAAAGAAAATATTGTCAATTATGCAAAAAATTTTTCTAAATACTGTTTATATATAGGACTATCAAATATGGTTCTCTCTAATATTCTACAAACTATAACAAATTTGTGACGGTTGACAATACTAACAGACGTCGTCCGTAAGAGAAATGAAATTGTGTAAACGGTATTGAACTAAGAAGAAACAGCACTGCTCCGCTGTGACAACTGTTAAACAACTTATTTTAAGGTCTTTATAGAGAATAAAAAAATACTAAACAAAAAAAATTAGTCGAAATTTTCTGCTCCTTACCCGTCCTCTATTTCCATTTGACAACAGTAAATCACGATAATAACACTGCCAATCTTAAAGAACACCACAAACAGGAAATACCACTTTGATTTAAAAACTTTCTTCTATTAAAAAAAAGATAGTCTTATAAAATTTTTGTTAGTAATAACACAATTGTATTTGTGCTCACCATACATAACTGATCACCTATCCCAACGGATCATCAAGTAAACTTAAGCATTATCGAGCCATAACGACCGACAACCGTAGAGCACCAACAGTATCAGCACTAAGGAGGCACTGTTGCAGAAGTGTGTAATTTGTTAAACTATTTTCGTTCAATGTATCTATCTGTTCCATTCCCCAAATCTACTTCATTTTATGCTACTAGTACATGGCCATCACCGCTGTCCGCTGATGTTGCCACTGCAACTTTCAGTTGATTCAAATTCAAAATAGCAATATTTAATGGTCTTCAGTAACAGACTGCACACGCAATATATCTGTGTTTCGCACGTTCATGTATGTATGTGTCTGGGTGTGTGAGTGTTGTTATTA